TCAATGAATACACTGGAGTACAAAAATGTAAGGCAAGTCACGTTCCCATCTGCTGGCAATTTTTTACATACTTTTCTTCCCACAGAGCCCCATTTACATGCTTGTAAGAATTAGTTAAAGACACGCTCAATGCTTTTAATGCAGACAACTTTTAAAAAATAGGTGCTATACTTACATGATGGTGGCAATTCCAACCGGAGACTCTTGCGTGGCAGTCTGTGTAGCCAAATGGCACCAGGGGCCAAATTCTATCTCTTATTCCTTGTAATACGTTTAGCTGGAAGCAGTGGGTCAACCCTTCAATCTACATGAGTCTGTAATAAATCTGCACACAGCATTTTCTCAGGAAATATCTGAATCACCACTGTTAATGCTTTTTGTGTAATCTGGAAAAAATGATACCTCTATTTTTACTGCATAATTTAGCAACTTTTTATTTTCATTTTGAAGACTTGACGAATGCAGTCTTCGTTGGTTTGAACACCACCTAAGGTTGTGAACAAGTTAAAGCTTGGCTGCCTTAAATAGTCTGTGAAAGCGTATACCTATAATTAAAGTAGATTAAAATTTGAAGTTCAAGGTACAGTAAGAGTCTTAAGGATACGATACTATGAAATTGAAAGTTGTTTGGGTATCCATGAGTCCACACCAAGAGGTATGGCATTTTTTTCTTTTTTATCCTTTCGTTTCACACTGTGTGTGAGAGAAAGAGAAAGAGGGAGAGGCAAGAAGTAGGCAGGGAGGGAGAGAACACAAACAGACAGTAAACCAAAGTAGGGCTTTCCCGGAGGTAAGGACTTTTACTCTGGAAGCAAGTTTTTTTCAGACTGATTATTCAATTAAAAGCAGTTTCCAAATGTTGCCAGCATCCACAATCGAGTTTAAATAATAACACCTTCACCTCATATCTCTGCAGCCCATTAAATTCCACATGCAGCGCTGGCTGGTTTGGCTCAGTGGATTGAGCACTGGCCTGTGAACCAAAGGGTCACCAGTTTGATTCCCAGTCAGGGCACCTGCCTGGGTTTCAGGCCAGGACCCCAGTAGGGGGCATGTGAGAGGCAATCACATGTTGATGTTTCTCTTCCTCGCTGTCTCTCTCCCTTCCCCTCTCTCTAAAAATAAGTAAATAAAAATGTTTTTAAATGCTAAAAAAATAAACTCCACATGCAGTTTTCTAAAAACAAGCAAACAAACAAACACAACCACAGCAACTACACACTATGTGCTGGGCACTCATTTTTCAGATGGAAAAACCAGACTTGCGATAAAGCTGGACTCGTACACACATTTATGGACTCTTGGTTCCAGACTATTTCTACTAGGGCAAAGGAAGGAGTTAATCATGAGACCGCAAGGAGTTTGGTGTAAGGAGCCAAACCTAGGGTGGCAAGCATGGGAGAACCTGAAAATCTGAAAGTCTGAATGTGTGAGAGAAGAAAGAGAAGACAGATAGCAAAGTTTTATTCACTTTCCAAGAAAGGGGCGGGGCATCGTGTGGAGGTGGGGGCTTTGAGCTTTTATTGGATTATAATTGGGTTATAAAAGGGCGGGGGGCGGGGCTTGCTGTTGTGTGGACCCTTGGCCGCTGCGGGCATTGCCACACAGGAGGTTTTGTGTGGCTTTTGTGTGGTTGTTGTGTGGCTTTGTGTGGTTTTCTGCCTGTGGCTGTAAGGAGCGGTTCGTTCTGTTCTGTTCTTGTTTTCTAGTAATCTCCAGTCCTTGGGACAAGCTCAGATGAGTAAAATGGCAGTCATGTTTAACAAGGTCATAGGCCTGCTCAGCAAATGGTGCCACAGTACCAAATGGCATCGGCTTTGTCCTTTCACCTAGGGTATAGCAAGCTCAAACTTAGCTAGCAGTATCCTCAAACCGCTGGGGAAGGGACAGTGGGCAGCTGTTGGCTCACAGTTGACTTGTCTGTCCTTGAGGATCTGCCTATAGGGTATAATTGACTGCTGGACAGACCCCCCACCACTCCCATTCCCCGCTGTTTCAATACCCTAACTCTGGCACCTGCTCTTCCTCCCTGACCCATAGCCTACGGGCATCCTTGGCTTCTTTCCCCGATTACCAGAAAGGAGCAGCTGGAGACACAGAACAGGAGGTGATTACCATGTCTATAGAAAGGGAAAAAAACAAACCAAAAAAATACTCTAAAATTAGCCTTCACAGTAAGCCTGGTAGGCAGGCCTGTAAATAGTTCTAAGCTGCGAGTTTTCCTTTTTCCATTTTCCTCTGTCATCGTGTGTATTACAAAGTTCCACAAAGCCCTAAGTGACTCCCAAAGTGAAGATTTTTTTATATAGCAGGGTTCCTTGGTAATTTGACTGGGATGGAGAGTGAGTTCCCATTTCCTCCCTAAGGGTTTCTCTGACCATCCCAGATCATTTATCATCATCACTACCTCTCCCTTTCCCTGCCCAGGGTCTCCTATATATTTTTAGTGCCTCTCATTTAGCCTTTATTACTCATCACCATGTAACACATGGAAATAACTCTTGTAAGTACTTTATCGTCTCTACACACACGCTCAAAGGTCCTACCAGGGAAAACTTTCACATTTCCACAGCCTTCAGCACAGTGTTTTAGACATAAAAAAGCTCTCACCTTCAGGAATTGATTCACTAGGAACGCTGATTTACAGAATTTTTTGATTTTTGTTGGAGACAGCGCCATCCTCTGGCACTGCAAAATATTTTCCCCAAATCATTAAGCAATGATCCAAAGGAAAAAACCTGATGATTTATTGTTAACACTCTACACAACTCACCAGCTTAAGAGATTAGTTCCTATCTGGTGAAATAACTGAGATCTAAAAAGCTCCTCTCTCTCTCTCTCTCTCTCTCTCTCTCTCTCTCTCTCTCTCTCTCTCTCACACACACACACACACACACACACAGATTTTATTACCAAGAGACTATCTGACCTAACTATCCTGGAGGTAAAATACTAATGAATAATAACGATAAAGGATAAAGAACCTCTCTCTTACTCTTACCCTTAGCTGGCTCCCTATCCCACCACGCACATTAGTCAAACACAGTGAAAATCCATATCGAAGATGGCTTTTTAGATCCTGTTTTCTGTCATCAAATATATTAACTCTTCCTCTCAGCATTGCACCATCTGTGTGTTTGATCAGCGTCCCCCACCCACCCCCGCCAAAAGCAGCAGGCATGCTGTGGGCACTGACTGGCTGTGGATCTGACAAACAGAAGAGAAACAGAGATATAGAGATTAGACGTTCGCCACACTTCTCTGAAGTCCAGATTGGCGTGACTCAAGTAACAAGATTGTTGCCCCTTTTATTGGAAGACTGAGTCACCCCTAATCTCTAGTGACTTCTCAAAATCTGCCTTCCTTATTTAAATTCTGACCCTATAGGCCTACATGCCTAAACTTTTCTTGGTGAAAAGTGCACATGCACGTAACACACGAACACACGTTGAGCCCTACAGAGATTCTGAGGCTTTTCAACGCAGGGAACTTGTAAGAACACTTACCATTACCACCTCCTTCATTTATCAGGTGTGGAAACCAAGTCCCAGAACAGAGAAGTGATTTGTTGCGGGTCTGAGAGCAAATTAGCATATGAATTGGAACTAGAGTTTCCTTCCTGACTTCTGGCACTGCTTTCTCCGCCTTGTTCACAGCCTCCACAGACAGTACAGTCTTGCCTTAGCCACTAAAAAGCTATACACTGAGCCCCGGCTGGTGTCACTCAGTGGATTGAGTACTGGCCTGTGAACCAAAGGGTCACCAGTTCAATTCCCAGTCAGGGCACATGCCTAGGTTGTGGGCCAGGTCCCCAGTTGGGGGCATGTGAGAGGCAACCACACAGGGATGTTTCTCTCCCTCTCTTCCTCCCTCCCTTCCCCCCCACTCTAAAAATAAATAAATAAAATCTAAAAATAAAAAGATCTACATTGCTTATAGAACGACTTTTCTGAATCATCTCCATCTTTGTCAAGTTGTTCTTTCTCAGTTTCTTGCCCTGTTTCAAGGACATTGAGAATTGCAGAAGTGGAATCAATAGAACACATTGTTTAGCATTTGTCACATACAGCACGAAGCCCAGTCGTTTATTTTATACAGAGCTGCTATCAAACATGCTGTCATATATAAAATCTGGATGACAATAAACCAGTGATTTTCAACCGGTGTGCCACAAGAATATTTAAAATATGCAATACCTGACTACTTAGTCAGGGGCACTGACTGACCTCTTTTCCCTTAGATTGTCAAATTAAAAAATGACAACAGCCAACACAATGATAGCTGCCCAGTATGAATGAATCAAAATTATACCTATTTTTTTGTCAGACCGGCAAAAAATATAACACATTTTTTTGGTGTGCTGCTGAATTTTAAGAATTAGTTTACATGTGCCATGAGACCAAAAAGGTTGAAAATTGCTGCAATAAACATTTGCATTTTGCAGAGACAACACGAATAACATGGGTTTCAGATACAAGATTGTTAGAATGATTCCACACTCTGCGTCCTTTATCAACAGAAAGGATTGACTGTTCAAACCACCCTACACAACATATAATGGGCATCTAAAAACGTTATTGACCCCAGAACAAAAAGTTGGTAACAATTTAAAACTCCTTAAGAATTATGGTAAGTTCCAACAATGGAAAATCGTGGAGCCATTATAAATAGTAAGGTACCAAATGCTCTATTGAAATAGAAACACAATCATCCTAAAGTTTTAAGGGGTAATGGAACAGTATGAAATAATATATGTTATGATCACACTTCCATAGGAGAAAAGTAATTACATATCTTTTCTGTTCCAGAATCAAGAAAGATATACAAATACCAAAGGGTTAAATGTGGTTATCTATATGGATATTATATTCCTCTTTCTTTTTTTTTTAGAACATCTTAAATTTTTAATCCTTTCTTTACAGGTTACCTATATCACCTTTGATTAAGAAAACTGTAGAAAGTTAGTAACTGCCACAAGCGAACGCCAGGCGGTGGCACATGTCAATTTCCACAGAGTCCTGCTCTGCGAGGTGTCTGAATGCACTGCTCGGGTCTCTGCTCACACTCACTGGAATCAATCGCGGCAGATTTTAGTCCACAGGTCGCTTTTCCCCATATTTCTTTGTAAACTCTTCAGCATTCTTACAGAATTTTTTACGGGCCTTAGAGTATTCTTCAGCTAGGTCAGCCCGAAGCGGGTGCTCGGGCTGGGGGTCGTTCACCAGTGCTATGAGGGACTGGATTACTTGGTCGGTTTTGGTTGCTGGCTTCCAGTTTTCAGCACTAATTACTGGCAGACAGACCTGCCCCTTTTCATCGATGTTGGGGTGATAGATCTTTGTTTTAAATGTGATCTTCGGTGGTTTGAATGGGTACTCTGCTGGAAAGTTGATTTCGATTCTGAAGGCCCCCTTATCATATGGAGGATTGTCAGGAACAATAAGCTCTTGCCAAGTCAATAAATTAGCTTCATCAACCTGGATGTTACGGAAGTTTTTCATTCCACATTTGCGGATTTCTTCAAGCTCCTTCATCAGCCTCCTGCTGGCCGCCATCTTGGATCTGGTGCTGCTGCCTTCCCAGTGTGCATCACCTATATTCCTTTTTGCTTGTTCATATGGTCTAATTTTTCTAAAGTTAAGCATATCACATTTGTAGTAACGTAAACAATAAAACAAATGTATTCTAGCTGGTGGAAAGCAATTTATCTTATAACCGTGTAAGACCGTCATTATATCACCATACTTTTGGGTAGTGCTTTCTAATTCTCAGAATTTTCATATAATAACTTTGGGTAATAAATAGGACAACTCTCATAAGCAACTAAAATGACAGCCAGAGAGTGTTATGTGACCTAGAAGTTTACAAGCAGCTATCTGATGGTAAAGCCAGGGTTAAAACGCTTGTCTCTTAACATTCAAGGCTGAACATACTTTTTGCTATGTCACATGGTTTCCTATAAGGATAGTTCATCTTTAATTCTCAAAGGAGGAAATTAAGAAATGTTAAGTAACTTGATTGTGGTTAGATCTAGAGGCAAATAAAATCTGTCCTCCCCGAGAAAGCAGGGGTCATGCCATGATACCAGAGCACTAGACAGGGTTTTCTCTGTACAGCATCACTCTTCCTTACCTAAAAAAGTAGAAATTGTTCAGGCTACCCTAGAGATAACTGAGTCTGACTGCTGCCCATGAGGGCCCCATCTGAGGCCAATGCACAGATAGTCACAATCAAAAGATAATCATAATCATCAAATTAGAAGAGCTCTCATATTCCCGAGGCAGGATGCTGCTCAGACAACTGATGACAGATGGGAGTCTAGATTTGCCAGGAAAGAATTTTTTCAGTCACATCTCTTAGTAAAAGAAAAATGTGTCAGACAACAACTGTTGCCAAGGTTCGGTTTGTGTATAAGTTCACCCATTCTCTCTCTCTGTCATGCGCACACACACACTGCGCCCACACACAGTTCTTTTATCTGTTATACAACGAGATGAAACAAAGCCCATTCCCTAAATCTGGTAGTCCCAGGATGAACACGAGGAGAAACTACAAACCAGTATCAGATTGGATTTCAGGAATTCCTGGAAGACCTAGATCCTCAATAAATATCTCTGTCTCACCAGCTGGTCAGTGTCCAAAATCTCACCTGTCAAAACTCCTTCCCTTCGAGGGCAGGGAGATAACGGGGAAAGAAAGGGAAGGGTCGTCAAGGAACATGTATGAAGGACCCACGGACAAAGCCAAAGGGGGGTAGGATTGAGGGTGGGAGTGGGCATGGCTGGGGCGGGGGGAAGTGGCGGCACGAAAATGGAGACAACTGTACTTGAACAGCAATAAAAAAATTTTTTTAAATAAATAAAGTTTTCCATTCTTATGCATAAGAGGAAAAAAAAAAGACAAAACTCCTTCCCTTCGATGTAAAGCTATGATCGTCATAAAAATGCTAGTGCCCTGAATCCATCCTGGGTCTTTTACCCTTCTGTCCAGCTATCTTTTTCCTTAAGAAATATAATACATAATGATTTATTTACACCTCAAAGAATAAAATAATATTAAATCTGGAAGGATTCTTACAGGCCACCTGGTCCAACATTCTTTTTATTTTATCATTTTTTATGTATTTATTTATTTTTTAGACAGAGAAGGGAGGGAGAAAGAGAGAGAGAAACATCAATGTGTGGTTGCCTCTTGTGCGCCCCCCACTGGAGACCTGGCCCACAATTAGGCATGTGCCCTGCCCAGGAATCGAACTCCCGACCCTCTGGTTCACAGGCAGGCACTCAGTCTACTGAGCCACACCAGCCAGGGCTGGTCCAACATTTTTAATGGGCAAATGAGACCCAGCAAGGTGAAGTGACTTTCCCAAAGCTGCACAGCAAATTAGTAACAGAGGGAGGATTTACCTCAAGGTGAGTGAAGACAATGAGGGCAGATCTTTCTAAAGAGCCTAAGAGAGAGAGAGAGAGAGAGAGAGAGAGAGAGAGAGAGAGAGAGAAACTCCTGGAGTTCTCAAGGCAGGGCCTCCAGAGGTTGAAAGCAAACCTAGTTCCTGTTCTTTGAGGCTCCTGGTATATTTTTAAAAAGGAAGAAGTTTCCAATCTGAGTTACGACAAATTACGGTACACTTTAATTTTTTTATTTAACAAATTATCACTTGTAAGATAAAATAATTACTAGGCGGTAACAAAGCACTATTTGCAGAATGACTACACGATTTTTAAAAATTAATTCTAATGCAATGCAGGACGATGACCCGGTGATAAGACACGTATTTAAGCTGAAAGGCCTCCATTTGAAATATCCCTTAAGAATTTTCCACCAGAAAGAACCTTAAAGACCATTCATTAATCCACAGAAAGCAAATATATTACAGGGCATGGGCCAGCTCTAATTAATTAGTAGTGAGTTCTGGGACAGTGCATTGAAAAAAAAACCAATGAACAGCTTCTGGGTTCAGTGAGAAAAACTCCAGTATCTTCAAATGTAAAGACGACAGAAGAAAAGTACATGAAGGTAATTTTACCCAGGATCACACAGTTATCTAGTTATTGAGAACTAGAAGTAGAAGGACTTGATTCTGAGAGAAATACACCTTTCATCACACCATACTCTATTCAGTCTCGAATACTCGGTCTCTAATCATCACAGAAATTATTTGCAAATTAAGGGGATTTTGTGCATTCCGCCAAGTCTCTGTTATCCAGGACATTCTAGGAATTGGTGAAGGAAAGGACAATACAATGCTCTGCTTTAATAAGATGCCACATATTAACTGCTGGCAGTCCAAAAATAGAGTCAAACACTAAAGACTAAAAAAGTTCATTTTGATTTGTTTCTTCAGAAGGAAGCGTGGCTGGGAAACTTGTAAGTTGCCTTTTCCTATAGAGAGAGCCATGAGACGTGCTGTTCGCTTTTCCTGGATTGCTGCCGCCCATGGAAAATTACCTGAATCATTCCAGTCCTTTTGGGGCCCAACTCAAGCCGCTGCTCCTCCTCCAGGAAACCTGGGACCACAGAAGCGCTCAAGACTACCCTTTGATCTTCTCCAGAACTGGCTCTCCGAGACAGATACTGGGCAATGCCGTATTCGGACAGATATTTCTGTTTTGGTGCGTGTCTGTATGTCCTCGCTACTCAAGAAAATGGTGTGTTCTTCAAGATCAGCGTTTGCTTTTCTGTGCCTAAATAGTAGCTGACACAAAGTGGCGCACAGTCAGAGTGCAGAGACTGCTTGGGGGGTATTGATTGAATACTAGAGTTCATTGCAGGCTGGGACAGACTGATAGACTGAGAGCTGTCAAGGGGGCAGGCTGGGCGGGGGCTGGAGGGATTCAGCAAAGGAGAAAAAACCCCTGAGAGTGTAGGGAAGGGGTTGGAGGGAGGTAGAGGAGAGTATAGGGGGGCTAAATGGTGATGAACGGGGATCTGACGTGGAGTGGTGAACACACAATACCGTGTACAGATGAGATGAGTTGTAGAACTGTGCACCTGAGACCTGTGTAATTCTGATAACCGGTGTGACCACAATAAATTCAATAAAAAGGAAAAAAGAGAAGTACAGATTGGTAGTTCCAAAATAGTCATCGGGAGGTAAAGAACAGTACAGAGAATATAGTCAATAATATTGTCATAACTAAGTATAATGCCTAGTGGCTGTTTTCAATTTTGGGACGATCACTTTGTAAAGATCACTTTGGGAAGATTACGTGATTGTCTAACCACTATGCTGTACAACTGAAACTAATATAACATTGAATGTCAACTGTAATTCAAAAATAAAAGTAAAAAAAAAGAATTTAAAATGTCAAAACACTTCTTAAATAATAGTTATCTGACCATATATGTGAGGGTGTATTTCTGGAGTCTCTATTCTATTCCGTTGGTCTATTTTGTTTCTTTTGCTAGCCTAATTTATCTGGCTGACTTCCACTACTATGTTAAATTGTGGGAAATCTCTCGTTCCTGATTTTAGAAAGAAAGGCTTCAGTCTTTTACCTGTAAGTGTCATGTTAGCTATGGCTTTTTGTTATATGGTCTTCATTATGTTGGGTAGTTTTCTTATATTCTTAGTTTATTGAGTGTTTTTTTTTATCAAAACAGAGTACTGTATTTTGATTAATACTTTCTCTGCAACAATTTGTGAAAGGCCTACGTTTTTTTTTTCCTCCATGGTATTCATGTAATGCATTACATTGACTTACTTTAATATGGTTAAACATTCTTGCATTCCAAGAATAAATCCTACTTCATCACAATGTTTAATCTTTTAAATATGCTGTTGAATTAAGTTTGTTACTGTTTTGTTGAGGATTTCTGCATGAATATTCATAAAATACATTGGTTCTTTTTTTCAAATAAAGTTTTTTTTTAAGATTTTGTTTATTTATTTTTAAAGAGAGGGGAAGGGAAAGAGAAAGAGAGGGAGAGAGACATCAATGTGTGGTTGCCTTTCATGCACCCCCGACTGGGGACCTGGCCCGCAACCCAGGCATGTGCCCTGACCAGGAATTGAACCAGTGACCTTTTGGTTTGCAGGCTGGCACTCAGTCCAGTGAGCCACACCAATAAGGGCTTGGTCCTTTCTTGAAGGGTCTTTGTTTAATTTGGGCACCAAGATAATCCTGGCCTCCAAAAATTAGTTTGGATTTTTTTCCCTTCTTTTCAATTTTTGGAAGAATTTCAGGAGGATCATTATTAATTCTCCTTTAAGTGTTTGGTAGAATTCACCAACTAAGCCATCTGGTCCTGTACTTTTTTTGTTGGGAAGTTTTTGATTAATGATTCAATCTTTTTGCCAGTTATTTATCTATTTAGATTTCTTTTTATTTATTCATGATTCAATCTTGGTAGGTTGAGTATTTCTAGGACTTTTAAGGGTTTTGTTCATTTTATCTAACTCATTCAATCTTTTGTTATACACCTGTTTGTAGAACTCATATATAATCCTTTTTATTTCTGTAAAGTTGATAGCAATGGCTTTCTTTCATCTTTTATTTTAGTTATTTGAGTTTTTCCTCCTCTTTTTTGTCAATTTAGCTAAAGTTTTACTAATTTTGTTGATCTTTCATTGATTATCTTTATT